TCTCGGATCAACTTCGCCATGTCGATGTCGAAGGAGTCAACTTCCTGATGAAATCAAAGATCACGACCAAACGAGCAGCCGAGGCAAAATGAACAACAAGGACTACAGAAGGCTGGGAAGTGGAAAAAATCAAGATAACCAGCAAGACGAGGGAGAGAGGAAGCGAGAGAGCGAGAGAGGGGGGGGGGGGGGGGAAAGGGGTGAGTGAGTGAGGGAAGGGGAGGGGGGTAAAGCAGGAGGAGGAGAAAACCTTCAGGCCAGACTTAGTGAGCTTGTCGCCCTCCTTCATGATCTCAATCATGGCTTGTCTCCTGATTCGCTCCTCGTCGGACTCCTTGGGGGAAGACTGAAACGTCTTCTTGTTCATCGCGTTCATCATGCGGCTTCTTTCACTGTAGAGCGAGCTGGCCATGCTGCCAGATTGGACTCAGTCATGAGACAGCGAAAGCGAGGATGTCGGAGCGCGGTCATAGGGAGTGAAGGAGATGACGAAAATGAGGATGAAAGGGACACCGATGATGATGATGATGATGGGGGAGATCAGGTTGTTATGAACCCACCGACGCTCTTGCCCCATAGCAGAATGCCCCATAGCAGCCTTTCCCTGAGCAACACTGGCAAGGGCGGCCTCAGTCGTCCTCCTCACGAACGTGATGTTCTCATAGACGTTGCTCAGCATCCCCTCATCGTGCATCTCCTGCTGCAAAGATCAACCCTCGTTCTCTTCAGCACGCGGACTGCCAGCACCTGGATGATAGCTCTCTTCTTGAAGCGGGGGTCAAAGTCCCTCATGTGCGCACTGAGAGGTCTCTGGGATGACAGGTGCGACTGCAAACAGTTTCAGGATTTGGGGCAAGGAGATGTTTGGAGTTACATCGATGTAGTGCTCCTCCTCAAGCATCCTGGCCCTCTCGTTCTGTTCCATCGCGATCATTTTCATCTTCATCTCACGGTCCTTAGCCATCTTCGCCATCTTCAGCCGCGCCTCCTCCTCCTTCTTGATGTAGAACGATCGAGCTCGCTTCACCTGCCGTACTCCCGTCACCTACCAAATACCGCCTCAACAAGCCTGTACCCGAACTTCCTTCCCCGAGATCTCCGTGTTCGCCATGGCATCGAGAGCATCGTCTGCAGTCTCCGGGTCCTCAAACACAACGAAACCCAGCCCAGGCTTCGCAACGTGCGCCTCAAGGATGGTTCCGAAACCCTCGAACGCAAGGTAGAGCCGAAGATCGTCCATGGAGGAGGGAAGGCCAGTGACGAACAGCCGCTGGCCCGTCAAGTCAGCCTGTCTGTAGTCGATCTCGTACTCTTCGTCAAGGTCGCTGATAGTGACCATGTTCAAGGCGGAAGCAGCTCCAAAACTTCTTTGTTCTGCTCTCACGTGACGATTGAGCCCAAAAACTGCAGAACTAGTGCGAGGAAAAGGACAGAGCTGTGAGTTTACACGAGGGAGCAACGAGGAATAGGAGTGGGGAGCCAAAGAGGGGAAGAGGTACGCGGAGCAAGGGGAGACGATAGCCAGGGCAGCCAGCAGCTGAAAAATCATGTCTCCTCTCGGGAAAAAATCTGACCCTTTCGATCTGTCTGATTCCGTTCAAGCTACTGACTCTGACTCCTGAACTTTACACAGTTGGCGACTCGGCAGGAACTTGAAAAGCGTACAGGGATGGTGGAGGCGAGTAGAGGTCCTATACACAGCCAGTCAGGTTCAGCAACACGGGACATCAAGAAATGGCCTCAACTAGAGCATGATCACACATTTTCTGATGTGATGCCCATGCCACGTTCACGACACCTACCCTCCATCTACACATCGCACCTACCCTTTATCTACAGATTCCCAGTCTATTGCGCGGCCAGTCAAAGGTTTATACCATCACGCCAACAGATGGGGTCAAAGTATTTGCAATGGTTCATCGTGTGCCAAGTTTACATGAACAAGGCAAGAAAACAGTGAGGTCGAGGAGGAGCGACCGCAAAGTTTATCATACGATCCAAACAGATATTCGGGTGCACGGATCTTATAATACGCATCTTTCTCACAACATGGACACAGATCTCCAAGGGAGTGAGTAAAATACCTTTGAACAAGTATGACATCTCAATACACACACAATGACACCAATGAAGATAGAGAAGAAGCTAGGAAACAGAGAATTCGACCGCAGGCTCTAACGACCATTCTCCGATTGTACGCCTCTTTCTACGTGTACGTCATGCCTGCAGTGTTTTCCAGCTTGCAAAACAACACCTTTTTGCAATGAAAAGAGAGGAAAAAATGAGGGAACACAACTAAAGCGTCTCCGAGGACGCGGCGGGGGCATGCAGGAACAAAAGGGGGTGAACTTCGAAAAAGACAAAGGGAAGGTCGTGGATCAGAAGGACAGAGGGAAGAGAACCAAACTTGAGGATCAGGGTGAGGACGATGCGAGCATGAAGCGATGGTTCTGGCATGCAGCGCAGGAAGAGCGAGCAGGGCCATGGCGGCGGGAGGGAACAGGGGCGGAGGGGGCGGCATGAGCAGGAGGCCATCACGTGGAGGGGGTGGGGTATTGAGAACTGAGACGAGGGGGTGGGGTAAAGGACAGTGTATGAAAGGACCATTGTTCTGAGCCGTGTTGGAGGAAAAGAGGGGTAAACTAGGAAGTACCCCTACTTTTGACCTGATTTTCATCCCAATGAACCGGGTTATGAACCATCATGTTCTCATGGGGCGGGTACATCTAGGGTGGTGGTCACGAGGGAGGGGTAGTAACAAGGGTTGGGGTTGTATCGTGAGGATACATGGTCCTAGAGAGATAAGTAGCTGAGGTGCTAGAAACTTCGTAGCTTCAGGCCCTAAAGCATGGTGCTAGCCTGGCTATGACATGTACATAGACCGATGGCGTATTGAGGGACTGGGGGACTTAACCCCTAACGAGGTCCTATTGACATACCCGAGCGGCTGATATATAAGAGGATTTTCAGTACCAACACTTGTACTGAAAAACGAAAAATAGTTTTAAAATCAGTACTGTAGTCTAGTACCAGAGATCTTCCAGATCATGCGAGCGAAAAACGTTTGAGATGAAATGTTTCTCCTATATTTGATTTTTTCAATCAGAAGTTATAGTTCAGTACTCGAAACTTTTGAAACTTTTGAGATGATGCTGTATTTTGTTTGTAAACCGATTTTTTAAGAAAACACTTTTAAGGAGACATCTTACTGGGGAGATCCGCCCTGATAAGACCAGACATACGAAATTCTTCTCCTCGAACATTTCAAACTTAGACATGTCAATTTCAAGTTTCAAGTATAGGTTTGAACCTTCAGAGCAGGGACCAACAACAAGGCATGCGGCTCCCGATCCCGATCTCGACCCGCCTCAGATGGATGTCTTCGGTGGACGGGCCCGCTCCAGCAGGCTCACCAGCCCGGCCCGACCGGAGGCCCGAAAGCCCGGCGGCAGGCGGACTGAGAGTTTGAGTTTTACAAGACTGCCTCAGATGGAAATCATCAAGAAAGGCAGAAGCACATTGTGATAGTAAGGTTTTTGCTGTCCTGCTAACATACCCGCTGCTGGTTTGAACGGATCGGAGCCATGGCTAGCAGTGAGTGGGGTAGGCAGGAACGATGGTCGGAAGAGGAAGGAGACTAGAGGGGTAGGAGAAGGAGGAGGAAACGATTACGAGATTGGGGGCTGGGCGGGCAGAGAATTAGAGAGAAGGCAATGGAGGACGGGGCAAAAAGTTTCTGGAAGAGCAGGAGACAAGGTTTGACAGCACGAAAGTCCCTTGTCAGGGCGCTAGAACGTGTTCTACCAGAGGATCAGTAGCTGGGCGAGTGATGAGTAGTATGCACCGTTTGCTCTTGTGGACGGCCTCTAGAAGCAAACATGCTCTCATCCTCTTGTAGGCAATTGCCGCTGAATATAGAAGGGACTGGGAGGTCCAAGTGGCGGAGGGAACTCGCTCGCTGAATTGGAACGCGCAGATCTATCACATGGACATTCAGCCGTGACCATGTTCTCTGTGGACTACTCTCTGACAAGGAACGCCAAGTCGTTCGAAGGAAGAGTAGCAGTGACTGTGACATGCGCGCGGGGGCTAGGGGGGCCCATCAAGCACGCCAAGGACGGTGGGTGCTGTGGATGGCATGCTGGCGCCATGCTGATCGCGCGTGTTGGCAGTCCTGTCGCATGACTCGTGGGTATGTGAAGCCAACTTCATCTCGATAGGAGAGCCGTGAGCATGAAGATGTGGAGGCATCTGCCATGGCTGACGGCTGTTCGCTCCTTGTAGCTTCTCTTTCCGAACCTCGGCTGCTCCAAGCTACGATCCGAGATGGGAAGAGTTCAGGTACAGTTGTTGTTGATGATGATGGAGATGATGATGATGATGATGGAGATGATGATGATGGAGATGATGATGGAGATGATGATGATGGAGATGATGATGATGTTGCTGTTGATGATGATGATGATGATGATGATGAGGAGGAGGAGGAGGATGAGGAGAAGGGGAGTGGATGCCGAATGGAGTGCAGGAGCCTTCCTGTGGTGATCACACCTGAATCGAAGCTCGTGCTGCGCGTGTTCCGATCGGACCAAATTTCACCATCTGTAAGGACCATGTCCCTCCTTCTCCAACATGACGAGCGGCGGCAGACCGGGAGGGTCTACGGAGTAGGAGAGGTCTCGCTGCTTGAGGCTTCTAGGAGTGTAGGCATGTACGATGGGTGGACCCCGCTGGTCGGATCGTTGCAGGTTGTGAGCAGGAGAGAAAGGAGGAGGAGAGTGATGGAGGGGGCAGGGAGTCGAGGTGGGAGAAGTACATGTCGTCATGATGTTCACGGCCACGAAGCGTACAGGTGATAGGGAGTTGCGAAGACGTGGAAGGTAACGATGGTCGCTGTGCAGATGCGTACAAGGCGGTAGCAAGGGTTCCCAAGGATGTTCTGCTAGACAGGGAGGGGGAACACAGTAAGTCCCTGGTCCTGCGCTCGATCCCCCAGCTGGACCGGAGCTCGAACCTAGGTGACCTGCCATGCCAGCTCTAGCGAGGGCCTGACCGCGAGCGCAGAGTGGGAGGTAACAGAGAGGAAAGCGAACTCCTCCTCCTCCTCCTTCCTCCCTCGGGACTCGCACAGCCACGTCGAGGAGTCGAGGCTCATGGACAGGAGCTGGAGAAGAGAGAGGAGTTTGCTGCCTGGAGCAGATGGCGCGAGCAGCCAGATTCCGTTTGCAGCAGCACCAGCGAGGAGGGAGAAGGACCATCAGGAGCCGCTGGCAGACAGAGGAAGGAACAGCCTTCCTCTCCGCCGCAGCTTTGACCCCTCTTTCGTCCGCAGCTCGTCCCCGGTGCTCGAAGAGGAGCCGGTGCGAGCAAGCGATTCGAAAATTGTGGCTGATGCGACGGCAGACGTTGCAAGGGGTCGACCCGGTGGAGTTCCCCTCAGTCGCTTCAAGAGAAGACGGTGAGTGGAGGAGGAATACAGAGGAAGAGGAAGCAGTGAGAGGAGGGGAAGGAGAGAGGCAGGAGGGGGGAGAGGCAGGAGCGAGGTGGAGGGAAGGGAGAGGTGGGGGAGGGAGGAGAGGCAGGAGGGGGGAGAGGCAGGAGTGAGGTGGAGGGAAGGGATAGGAGGGGGAAGGGAGGAGGGAGGAGGGGGAAGGGAGGAGGGGGAAGGGAGGAGGGAGGGAGGGAGGGAGGGAGGGAGGAGGAATAATGGATTACAACAGTCCAGCGGCTGCAGAGGCAGATTGTGGAAGAAGAGGGATGGAGGTAGGACCACTACAGCCCTCTCCTACTGCCCCCTTCTCCCTACCCCGCTTGCTCCTCCCTCCCTTCTCCCTCCCTGCCTCGCTTCCTTCATCGACTTCCTCCTCTTTTCCTTCCCCTTGTCCCGTTGCCGTCCATGTCCTCAGGCTATTACGTCGCCTCTACTCTTTGAAACTGATCCCTCGTCCCCCCTCCCCTCCTCCCGCTCTCCTCTCTCCCGTCTTCCCCTCGTTTCCTGCTTGTCCCCCTCGTCTCCTCTCCTACTCACACCCCTTCCAGGTACATCCGCGAGTACGAGAGGAGACAGAAAGTTCTCCAGTACACAGCAGGGCAGCGATCCTCTGCTCGTGGGGGAAGGGAAGAGGAAGGGAGGACCTCCCTGTCCTCCTCTCTTGCTGCTTCAGGGCTCAGGGCCCCCTCCACCATCCTCCTCTCGAGCTCCAACGCGTCTCCCTCCTCCTTCCTTGGTAGAGATCTCACGACAATGACGAGGAGAGCAGAGGTGACGACCCCGCTATCTTGACTATATGAAACACCCTGGCTTTTCTCTGCCCTCTTCGCTCCCCTCTTCGCTCCCCTCCCTCCTTGTTTTGCCTTCCCTCCTCCCTCCCCCCCCCTCCTCCTCCTTCTCTCTCTCTCTCTCTCTCTCTCTCTCTCTCTCTCTCTCTCTCTCTCTCTCTCTCTCTCTCTCTC